GTACCCCGACCACACCACCATAACAAAAGGCTCTTTTCAGAGCCGCCCAATTTTAACGACTGTTTGCCTGCTCTTTTGCTATTGCTTTCGCCAATTTTTTTTTCTAGACATTGTTTCGTTGCCAAGCATTCCTATGGTTAGGGATTCGAGAATATAGACGAATCTATTTTTATGCACCTAACTTTTTAACTGATTAACAACGGCTGATGTTCTTGCGCTTTCAATAATGCTGCTAATGAATTGGATCGAGGTGCTTCAGCTGTCACCAACAAATTTCATAAGCAACAAAAATAATTTTAATCATCGATATGAAATCGTATTGAAAGTTCCTTCGCTGATTAAATTTGCCGATTTATTTACATTATAGACATGAAATGATGGGAATAATTATTGTAGTTTACCTTCTTTAAATAGATAATGCAATCAAATTGACGCCGTGCAGTTAGCTTTGTGCACGTTATTTAGCAAAAAATTGCTTCAGCTCTTTCCTATCTAACGTAATAAAGCTAATGTAATCATTCTGATTAACCGAAGGAGGCTTGACCTTATTGATATTGCGCCAGTTTTTAATAACTCACTCGACACGCATAACCACAACTGGCTTGAGTAATCAAATTTAATTTGATTACTCAAGTCGATTGTTAAAGGTGATGGGCAAGTAATTTTTGACGCATTTACCCGAATTGAAACACGATCCTATCCAAGTATATAGCAAACGTAATTAAAAACCAGAGCAAACAGATGAACGCGAATAAACAAGACGCGCACACAAAAGTGGAGTTCAATCAACCAGGCGAAGTTTGTCGATCGTTAAATTTGGTGGCTCTGAAAAGAGCCGTTTTTCTTGTTATATGCTAGAAATTAAGCACGTTCGCCTCTGATTCTGCGGGCGAGCTGGATGTTCTTGGGCATGATGGTGACGCGTTTGGCGTGAATGGCGCAGAGGTTGGTGTCTTCGAAGAGGCCGACCAGGTAAGCTTCGCTTGCTTCCTGCAGAGCCATGACTGCCGAGCTCTGGAAGCGAAGGTCGGTCTTGAAATCCTGAGCTATCTCACGAACGAGTCTTTAAAAGGGCAGTTTCCTGGAAGGAATGAATGAAACTAACACAAAGTATAATTACATTTTGTTGTACAATATTTAAAAAATCTTTCTGGATGATTATATCGGCGATTCATTAATTATTTTATAGCTTAACCAGCACATCCACTTTTTGAATCACATTTGTGAACGACGATTAGTCTTATTTAATGTGTTTTAATGTGTTGTTTCAAGTTATTTAATATATTTAAACTCATACCTAACGGAGAGCTTCATTTCAGTTCGCACGCCTACGTGATCATTTACGATCGTAAGCAAGCATCCAAATTAACAGTCTCGTAAACTTTATGGAAGGAATGAATGTGATTAAATAACCGATGAAATAACCATCTTCTCTTTTTGGAGATGCTGAGAGAAGTTGGAAATTTTTTAGTGACAAAATGACCACATGAACTCAAGAATTCGTTCCAAAATAAAAAAAAGAAGAACACTAATTATATATTTAAAATGAATAATGAACTCAAAGGGTTGATGAAACAAAAGCACTAATGAAACACGTGTACAACAGAATTACCGAAAATTTAAAAAATGCATTTTTTCTCCTTTAACGAATTAATTTAAATGAACTTGATAATATTGAAATGGAAACAGAGAGCAACCGTATGTAAAGATTAAAAATTTTTAGCATACGTACAAAACATCTTTTGTTTTCTTGATGATTAAAACGGTTCTTTAATTTTATGGCTTTCGACACGTCTCGCCTCCCTTATTGTAACGTTGTTTTGGCGATTTTATTCTGAAGCGGGCATCCGGGTTTTTTTACTTAGATATACTCAAGAATGAAAAAAATAGTTTGGCTAAGCTGGCAAGCGTATCATCGTTAGAATGGGTGGCTCTGAAAAGAGCCGTTTGTTTTGTCTTTATGTCAGTGGTCGATTACTTTGAGCTGGTGTACTTGGTGACGGCCTTGGTGCCTTCGCTGACGGCGTGCTTGGCCAACTCGCCGGGTAACAGAAGCCTGACGGCCGTCTGGATTTCTCTGCTGGTGATTGTGGATCTCTTGTTGTAGTGGGCGAGGCGAGAAGCTCGCCCTATATCTTTAAGTATATATCTATATCTTCATATATTTATATGAAATCTTCCCTATATTTCCACAAACATTTCAAGATAAGATAAATCCGTTCCGCCGTTCCGAGTTTTAGCGAGACTAACGAACAGCTATTGATTTTTATATATAAGATATGTATTTATATGCATAAGCCGGTTAAAATTATTTATATTTTTTGTCTATCTGTCAATAATATTTATTTATTTTTTTGCTTTTTTGAAAATATTACATTAAAATAATAAAGTAAAAAAATTGGTGTGTTTGTGTGTGTGTGTGTCTGTCTGTCTGTCTGTCTTTCTGCCAGTCTGTCTGTGAGAATGTATAGGTAATGACTATGCGACCAACCATTATCAAATTCTGCAGTGTTTTGACGAACAAATCGAATGATTGATGACTAGATGAATGAATGAGTGAATGGATGGATAAAAGAAAGAATGAGTGCATGATTAAATGGATGGGCTTTTGAGTGAGTGATTGAATGAGTGAACGACTAAGTGAAAACATGAATAAATGATTGTTGAATCGGTGATTGAATGAATGAATGAATGAGCGAGTGGTGAAAGAATGACCGAATAAATAAATAAAAAATGTAATATTATAATTTGTCAACACAAAGTACTTTAAGTTGTTTAATTGTGATTTCGCTCATATTTTCCTATTTGCCAAAGTATATCTGTTCAAATACAACATCGTTTTGAAAATATCATTCATGAAGTTGTTGTTTCAGTGGTGTCAAAAATTTGTTTTTCAGATAGCTCATTTCGTCATTTTCACCAAATCATTTAATAATTTGTATGTTCTCTTTAACTTTTTCGTGAATGTCAATGATCAATTATATAAAAAAAATTCCACGTTTTATTTAATTTTCTATAAATATCAACAATAACAATAACGATAATAATAATAGCAGTAATGAAAATAACGTTAATGATTATAACAATAATGATAGTGGCAATACAATATGAGGTTGGAATCTTTCTGCAAGCAAGCCGGATTCTTCACCGAGACCACAGGACTTCAACTCTCTCACCATATTAATCTGTTTATATAAATGAATCAATCGATTACTTATGAGCCAATGAACACTTTTGTATTTCTAATTTACACCGCAAACGGTTTCAAAATTGTGTCTGTCTGTTTTTTCAAGTACATCTGCTATGTGAAAATTTTACTTTTTTTTTATGAATGGAAAAAACCGCAAACAAGTTGTGGTGTTTTAAATCACTCCTAGGAATAAACAGTTAATATTACTTTTTAACTGATTTATTTCATTCAAGCATCCCAATTGAAAGATATATGCTCACATTGTCACTAAATTTCTGTTAATGATTTTGATAATGATGTTCTCACCTAACTGATTTGATAAGTTAAATTATAAAATCTGAATAACGATGGTTAATATAAATGTAATTTATTTGCATTTTAGTGCCAAAAAGAAGCAAAAAACAGATCTAACCAAGCCCGGCAAAAGTTTATCTCGAAAACTTTTATTCAAATCAGGCAATGATTTAAAATGTAATTGTAATATTAATGAATAAATAAATTGCCAGAAAGAAAAAATAAAAAAAAGAATCAACTTCTGAAAAAGATCAGTAATTGGTTACTAAGTCCAACAGCAACTAATTTGGGTGTTTTGCTTGACAGCAGTTTTTAACCAAAGATCACATCAAGGCAGTATGAGTTTCGTGCAATAATTACTTTAGAAATTTATATCGGATTAGACATTGGTTGGATTGATCGGTTATAGAAACATTGGTGCAAGCTGTCATAATTTCCCGTTTATAAAATTACTGTAACAGTCAGTTAGTCAGTCAGTCAATCAATCATTCAATCAATCGATTAGTTTATAAACCGCTATTTTCGCGCTGTTGAACATCGCTCCTCAATGAATTTTGAAAACAGGTGGGTCTTGAGATCCGCTCTGAATTTTATAAATGATGGAGAAGTAGTCAGAAAAGAAGGTAGAAAGTTCCAGAGAAAGGGGCCAAAAAAGGAAACGTAGATTTTGCAAGAGTGTTAAACACGAGTTAAGAAGAAATGAGAACAAGAAGGCGATCGTTTAAACTCAGTTAAAATATATCTGATAAGTACTTGGGAAATAATTTAGATTGAGACTTATACATAAATGTGCAAGTTTTAAAAATTATTCTATATTTTATAGGTAGCCAGTGCAAAAAAACAAAACATGAAAATATTTGAAAAAAGAAAGGGGCACGAGCAACTAGACGAGTTGCAGGGTTAAAAGCTTAACTTAAAGGAAGAGGTGTAGAATCAGGAAGACTATAGTGGAGCGAGTTACAATAATCAATAAAACTGAAGAAGTAATTAGAAGGAAAAAAGTAGGATCGTTTAGAAAAGGCACAAGTTTTTTTTATTCTACGTAGATGAAAGTAAAAACATCTAGCAACGCTATTAAGCTGAGAAGAATGAGACATGCTAGAATCAAAAATAAAACCTAGACTACAAAACTTGATAGAAACATCAAGAGTTTTGGAATCAAGTAAGATAATAAAAAAAATAATAATAGAGCGTTTAGATTTATTAAAACAAATTGTTGTACAAATTGCCAGAAAATCAATTGTTGTTCTTCAATCGATCCAGAATAGGGCTGCAAATGTGATAGCTGGTAGGTTAAAATTCGACAGTGTAACAAATTCGAAATGAACTACATTGGTCGACGATGGAAGAAAGAGTAATTTTTAAAATTGGTGTGATTGTCTTTAATGCACGTAAGGACGAAATATTTGTCTGTTAAGTTCAGCAAGGTTCTCAGGTCAGACGATAGTGGTTTGTTGGTGGTGCCGATGACGAAGTTACATACCAGTTCTCGAAATATTGCTATAGCTGGTCCTACTTCTTAGAACAACCTGCCTGCAACCTGCCTGCATCATTAAGAAGACCTGGACTGCCTTTTTACATCGTTCAAAAAAGAATTGAAAACATTTTTATTTTCATTGAAGTTACATTAAACTTTTTTTGTTTTGTCACGTACAGTTTATTTGAATTTGAGATCGCCCGTGAGAAGATATAATGAATGCTATATATAAATGATCCTTAACATAAACTTGTTACAAAATAATCAATTATTTGTTACGAAGTTACGCATCCCAAATTATCACAAAGTAAATAGTTACTAACTAATCATCTGCTCATTACAAAGTAATCAATTACCCTATACAAAGTAATCACATACTTATCAGTTACTTATTACAAAAATCAGTGTTACAAAAACACACTTTTTTATCTTGCGAAACTTGATGGCATCTTCTTTCAAGAGAGTAAGACAAGCAGAATCTAACATAGCTACCTGTGGGTACATTTTTAAAATAGATATTTTAATCTGATTAATGATTAAATGATGAGCCGTCTATTTGGAAATTTGTTTAGTGAAATACACTCAGAGATATGAATTGCGGTGTTTGGTAGGTTGATGAAATCAATACATTTAAAAAATTAGCCAACTCGGTTGGCTGACTGAATGCAGACGTTTTAATTAAATGATTCAATTGGATATGTAAACAAATGCTGTGGAAGCAGTGTTGTTTGGTTCAAATCTAAATTGTAGTGCTAACAAAACAATTATAATGCATTTGAAGCACGTTCAAAGTATTTTAAAATACTTTCAAAGTATTTTAAATTAATTCCGAAGTATTCAAAATACTAACGGAGATCATAATGAGCAACTGCAACGCATGTCAAACCTTTACAAATGTCGACGCTAGAGTTTGTTTCCGGCTCTGCACATTTCTCATCCACTACGCCGCATTTGTAGCAGGAAATTTCTGCTGCTGCTGCTGCTGATGATGATGATAACAGTTGTGATAACAATGATATGAAGATGAATATTGATGGTAGTAGTAAGAGTTGAACTATTAAATGGAGTTTTGGTTTTGAACTCATTTGCTTTTGTTGATGTTGTTGACGATGTTTTGATGTTTTTGTTGTTGATGATGATGGTAATGTTGATGTTGTTTGTTAATGTTGTTGTTGATTTTGTTTTTAATGTCGTTGTTAATGTTGTTATTAATGTTGTTGATGTTGTTTGTTGATGTTGTTGTTAATGTCGTTGTTTTCATTATCCTGAAAAATCTGCTTTAAACGTTATTAAAACAAACAAAACAATTACGTGGCGAAAATATTAACTCGTCAAATATTTAAATAAACATTAATTAACATTTAAATCATCATCATCACCACCACCATCCTCATCATTATCATCATCATCACTGTCATCATCATCATATAGGTTGTTATTACTATTTATTCTTTTTCTTTTTATTATTATTATTGCTGTTATTATCAACGTCATAATTAATTTACTTTGCCATAATCACTCTACTAATAATAATGTTAATAATAATAATAATAATAATAATAAAAACAATGAAAAGGACAGTACAAATAAAATAAAATAATGAAATAAAATTAAATGTCAAATGAAAGAAATGGAGTATTAATCTGAGATTAACAATAATGGGAACATCCTTTTATTTTTAACTCCAAATACCAAATATTAATAATGGAATAATTATAAAATCCTATTTAATCTAAAATGCTCGTCACTGCAAGTGGGTACATTTTAGAGGGGCCGGTTTAATTGTTCAATTGGGGTTCAATCATTCTTATTATTTTGGCGTTATCAATCAAATTTTATGGTAAACATAGAGTTGCAATAAAGTTAATAAAAAGACAATAATATATTTTATACAGTCTGAACCTTGTCTCTATATTGCTCGACATAGTATAGAATGTGTACAACTAGAGTAGGTCAGTTTAATATTTAAATTGAGTTTAAAAACGTGCGTACATGCAAATATAAAGTTATTAATGTGAAAATAAAACACTCAAATCCCATCAATCATTTGTCCCAGTTCAGTTTTCTTTCAACTGGAATGGGAAATCTGGTGCTTCTTCGCAATTGTTGATGTAATCTAGTGATGTTCCAGGACTGAGCATTGTAGCAGAGGTCGGCTGCCTGTTTATGAGGGGAAAGTCGGGTCCTGTCCCCTCGTCCGGCGTCTCTCTCGTGGATGCCAAACATGATGATACAGTATCCATTATTATTCTTATATTGTTATTGCTACCATTATTAATACCATTATTATTACTTCAAATTTCTTGTTATTAAATTAGATTTATCGTCAACATAATTATTATTAAATTAAAGTAGTAGTATTAATATTTTAGTTTAAGTCGCAACAATACACAGTACATACATTTTCTAATACAAAAGCGTACAGAGCCAGGAATGGCCATTTTAACAATAGCTTAACGTTTGTCGCTGTATATATTGATATCGGCTATTTTTTAAATAATTTGAAATTAAATGTTAAAATTAAATTAAGATATTAATCCCAAACCAATGGCAGCCAAATTCAAAACCTTTATTCAACTAATTGCTACAATCATTTTGGACCCATTTTTAAACCAGTTAAAACCTAATAAACTATTATTATGCCATCTAGCAGTAAGTTGGACGTTTATCGGCTCTAATAATAATAATAATAATAATAATAATAATAATAATAATAATAATAATAATAACAATAATAATGATAATAATAATAACAATAAAATGGATATAAAAATTTTTTTAGTTCGATCGATAGAGACATTACCATTTTATCTTATTGAACTGAACTTTGAATATGGTAATAACGACGACAATGACGATGATGATGGCAGGATGATGATGATGATGGTGATGATGATGATGATGGTGATGATTATGATGATGATGATGATGGTGATGATGGTGATGGTGATGATGGTGATGATTATGATGATGATGATGATGGTGATGATTATGATGATGATGATGATGGTGATGATGGTGATGGTGATGATGGTGATGATTATGATGATGATGATGATGGTGATGATGGTGATGGTGATGATTATGATGATGATGATGATGGTGATGATGGTGATGATTATGATGATGATGATGATGGTGATGATGATGATGATGATGATGGTGGTGGTGGTAGGATGATGATGATGATGGTAGGATGATGATGATGATGATGATGATGATTACGTATTGTGACGTTGTTGTTATTTTTCGTTTGAACTCCGCGTAGCCATCGATTTTACATCACAATAATACAAGCTGTCGCAAACAAACATACAAACATACATATATACAAACAAACAAACATACATACATACATACATACATACATACATACATACATACATACATACATACATACATACATACATACATACATACATACGTAGATTAATATTGATGGTATTAAACGCTTCTTCCCTTCGCGTAATAGGAAATTAGAATAGATAGAATGAAGTGAATAACAAAAAAAATTACACGTGTGAGAGAGAAAGGGAGAAGGAAATAAAAAAAATGAGAGAGAGAGAGGAGAGAGAAATAAAGATAAAAAAGATAAATATGAAACATTCAAAAAAAAAGAAAAAACAGCAGACAAAAGAATATTAAGAAAAAGAAACATTGAAAGTGAGAAAGAGAGCGAGAGAGAAAAAAAAAGAGAGAGAAAGAAAAAAAAAGAGAAATTGAGAAGGAAAAATAGAGAGTTAAATAAAGAGAGATAGAAATAGGAAATAGAGAAAGAGAGAGTGAGATGCTGAGAAAGAATGTTTATAACGCGATGTGCCGTGCATTTATTTATTTATTAATATATGGCGTAACTTACGGGCTTTATTGAACTTGCTGCTATGGAATGTTATCGTTATCATTTTGTCACGTAACTATTTGGTTTAATTTTTTTAATTTTTTTAAACAATAATAATAACAGCAGCCGAAGCAGCAGCAACAACAACAATCATAATAATAATAAACAATAATTATAATAACAATAATTTTATAAATATTGTTGAATAAAATTTATTGCTGCTACTACTACTACTATTATTCCTATTACTATTTCTTGTACTACTACAATAACAACAGCGGCAACCACCAAAGATGTTTTTCATTAAGCGGTACAAAGAATTAATCGCCGGTTTTCTGATCGGTTTGTTGATACCGTTCGCCAAACGAATAATAATCGAGAATAAAACCGATTTGAGTCGATCGTTGACCGATTGTCCATCCGATGTACTAACTCGGTATAATAATATTTATGATAATAATATAATAAATAATAATAATGATGAAGACACCACAAACCATAATAATGACATTAAGGATGATACAACAACGAAAAATATTATTGAAGATTCATTTGGCCACGACAATAAGAAGGATAAGGTGGAATCAAGAGTCCGGGTGAATACTTTTACAGACACCTCTGATAATCAACACCGAGGAAAAAATGAAGACTCTTTAGATTTTGTAGACATTTCAACTACTCTAACAACTATTATTGCTACTACTTCTGATTCTGCTATTAGTACTACTACTGACACTACAACTACCACTACTGCAGCTACTACTAATATTGACAAGGTTTTTGATTTGCCGAATGTGTCAAGTAGAGTCAATTCCTCACAAGCACTTTCATCATCCTTCTCCTCATCATCATCGTCATCATCACAATCACCACCATCTTACATTGACAAAAGCCAGAACATACGTATCTTGTGCTGGTTCATGACCGACCCACAAATCCTCAACAAATCGATTCGGGTTCGCGATACTTGGACTCGAAACTGTCACATTACTCTCTTCATGAGTTCCGTTTCGGACCCAAATTTTCCGAGTGTTGGTCTAAACGTGACACCGGGAAGAAATCACATCGCCGCAAAATCCCGAGCTTCTTGGATTCACATATACCGACACTACCGAGACAAAGCCGATTACTTTATGAAAGCCGATCCTGATTCTTACGTATCGATACCAAACTTAAAACTTTTTCTGGCGAGTCGAGATCCAGGAAATCCTGAATTTTACGGACATGCGCTCTACTATGGAAGAATGGGATGGATGGGAAATTTCAGCGGATTTTATTCTGCCGGACAGAGCGTTGTCCTAACTCGGGAATCGTTGGTGAGGTTGGCCGGTGGAGTTGGAGGTGTCAACGAGAAGTTCTTCTTTGACGGTCAAGGTTAGATTTTGTTGTTGGGATGATAATGATGCTGGTGATGTTGAGGATGATGTTGTCTGATGATAAGGATGATGATGATTATAATGGTGGTGGTGTGGATGATGATGATGTTGTTGAGGTTCATAGTGATTATGACTACAAAGATGGTGTGTTTGATGATGATGCTGGTGATGATGGCGATAATAACGATGATGATGATGATTTTTTTTTTATTATACCACGTGTGAATTTTTTTAACTTCTTATCTCTTTAACTTTTAACTTCTATTAATCTCGGCTTATTTTTCTTTACATTAATGTTATTATTATTGTTATTATATATTTATTATTAATATTATTATTAGTAGTAGTAGAAGTAGTAGTAATATTTTTTTTATTGTTATTATTATTGCCTGACTTAAAGCATTATTTACGAGGTTTCAGCATTGCATTGAACGGATACACGTGTGCACGTTCATGAAAAAATTATCATAATTTCAAGAATTATAATAATATTAAAAATTATTATTGTTGTTGCTGTTGTTGATGTTCCTTTACTTTGAAAATTATCTTTTTTCCAGCTCTTAATCGATGTGAAAACAAACAAACATTCGAAAAATTCTACGGAACTGTACTAACCATCATTACCATCTTTGTCATCATCATCGTCATCATTGGCATCATCATTACCATCATCTCAATTTTCAACATTATTGTAATCATCATCATAAATAGCATCATGTTATCAACGTCGTCACAATCGTCATCATCGTCATCATCATCGTCATCGTCGTCATCATTGTTCGTTGTGACAATTAATAATATTCACCACAGAATACAGTGATAAAATATCAATAATAGTTTCGTGCAAAAATACTGTCGGTTTCGTATTGTCCACTCAAAAATGCGATAACATGACTTTTCCTGTTACAGATATTCAGTCAAAATGAAGATCATTGCAATTCACTCTTGTCTGAAAACAAAAATAAGCTTACTGATAGCAGTGGCTTAACAGGCAGAGATTCTGGAAACGAGGAACTGTAAGAAAGCATTTTGCGTGGTTTTCGATTTTGAAGCACTGTCCCTTGTGGGAGTGCTTCAAGAACGTTGTTGAGGTGTTTGAAAAAATGGTAACTTGCTAGCAAAAAATTTGGTAAGTGTAGTGAGTAAGGCAAAATTTTGTAACCTGACACGTCCAGTTCAGGCTTTTTAAGGTCTGTTGTACGATGCGTGGTCCGACGTTACCGTGAGGGAAATATGATAGCGGAGATCAGTTGACTTGGTTTTCAGTGCATTTCTTCAATTTGTTAGCAGTGCATTCTTCCACGAACAGCTCGGCCAGGTTTCTAAAAGAATGTGATGAATGAAGCCGGCTGCATCACCCCAGTTCCTCGGCTCCCTATTAAAATATTTTGAAAAGTTCTTAAAACCGACAATATTTTTGCACCAACCTATTATATATATATATATATATATATATATATATATATATATATATGTGTGTGTGTGTGTGTGTGTGTGTGTGTGTGTGTGTGTAGAGTTTATATAGCGCTCGTTCAAGTTCTCACAAACGCTTTATCCCACAAGTGCGCTTTGATTCTTTTTCTAAAAATCACTTCATCAATCTCATTTGTTTTCAGCTCTGTTGGCAAATCACTCCACATCCTTGGGCCATACATTGCAAAACTTCTTGACGCCATTGATGAGTTTACCAACGGTTTCTGAAAATCATTGTTTTTGGAAGATCTTAAGAATCTACCCGCCACTGTTATTAGTGTTTTTTTTTTGCACAGATCCATTAGATATTTTGGAGCCGAACCTTGCATACATCGTTTCATAATAATGATAATAATAATAATATTAATAATAATCATAGTAATCATAATCATGATGATATCAATAAAACTACAACAACAACTTTAACAGCCGAGGACTTGAAAACAGCGATCTGCCTGTCGAACAAAGGAAGTGACATCATCGACACACGTGATCGATTGGGGCGGGAAACTTTCATGCCCGCCATTGGCCTGTCAAGTTTGTTGGCGGGAAACATACCGCAGTGGTACTCCGGACCTTATAGGCAGTACCTCGGATATTGTAAGGTATTTATAAGTGCTGTGATGACAACAACAACAACAATAATAATAATAATAATATGAACCCTTTTATTGTCAGAAAACATCAAGGCAAATCAAAATAAATAAAATCAAAATAAAATCAAAAAATATAGTAGAATTAATTTTAATGTACGATCCTCCCATGTTTTTTAAAGGTTACTCTCTCTCCCTCTTTTGCGTTAGCTTCAGAGGTTTCAATGACAAACACACACAGCGTATATGAATACGCGTGCAAACCACGCATCATACACATTGCATATGATAGTTGGGGATCTCTTTGTATTCGAACCCAGTCATTGCAATAGCACGACCAGGCGCCTTTAACCATTGAGCCATCACGCCGCCAGAATTTTAAGTTTTATTTTCTCTGCAGTATTTCTCAATGACATGATGTTATAACCGCCAAACTTCATTGGTAGCGAAAGTATCTGTGATACACAGCCACTGAGTGGCATGGCAAGAAACTCTCTAGCTCTGTCCACTCTATTAGACTGTCTAGACTAAACGACATCCATGTTGATGAAAAGTTGTAGCTGCGCAATTTAAATTGTAATTGCGTAAGAATAAAATAACTTTAAATTTGAAGTTTTTGCTGTGGTGTAATGTCAAGAACTGAGGTGATTCCTAGCAATTTTGATAATTTTGAGACAACCTTTTCTTTGGCTTTTGTAAGACAGTTCTTATGACAACAGCAATAATAATAATAATAACAAAATAAATAATAATAATAATAATAATAATGGAAACACTTTTTATTATTGAACCTCAAAAATCTAAAATCAAATTTATAGTCATCAATGCTCATCATTCACATCAGAGTACAAGGATGATAAAAAATGATACAAAAAATTGTTCATGTTTTGTTTCTTTCACAGTATATTGCATACGATGAACTAATTGCACAATTTGTTAGGTTATCTTTAAAAATGTCTGGCCAAGTTAAATTGATTAATGACAGTTTAAAAGGATTGTAGAAACCTATAGGACTAATCTCAAAAGTTTTAATTAAAACATTAAAATTTAAATAATCATTTGACAAATCATTTTTGAGATTCTTATTGTATTTTTCTTGTTTGTAGAGTTTGGATGAGGTGAAGTTTGTCTCGTGACAAACCTTCAGCTCCAGAATCTCGATGGTATTGTTCTTGACTATTGCGATATCAGGACGGAGCGATTTTAATACGTGCGATACTGGACGGATTGTTTCATTATCGAGATCCGCAAATATGTTTAATTCTGGTTTCGCACATGATTTCAAGTGGTCAACGATTAAAGCAAGAATTTTGTTGTGACGCTCCAAATATCTTCTCAATGCAACGGTTGAGCCGCAGTTTGATAGAACATGCTTGTTCGTTTGTTTTGCATTACATAATGAGCACAAGTCACTACTTGCCTTCCCCCATCTAAACAAATTTGAGTTTGTCGGCAGTTGCTGGATTAGATATTTTCTTGTGAATTTGAATCTCTGGTGCTGTTCTCGTCAAATCAGACCATCGCGTGACTTCAGAAGCATTAATGTGGTCTTTTATTGATCTTAACGAGATTCCTTGGTATTGTAATAAGGATATATGATTATAGTCTAGGTCATGCTGACGTTGTTTACATATTTTGAGTGCCTGTTTGAGATCGACCTTTTGGATAATGCTGTCTATATTTTTGTTACCATTGGCTGATTCTTCCCACAGACATTTCATTTCATCATCTGCATTAAATCTTAGACCACCACGCAGCTTCATTCTTAATAACTCAGCATGATTTTTCAGTGATCGAATGTTGAGGCCTCCATTTTTATAGGGCAAAGTCAGAATTTCCGCAACACAACTGCTGACCGGAAGTGAAAGCCAACCTCTTACCGACTCTGTGATCATTGCGTCGAGGCTTTTTTCGATCCATGTAACAGGTATGTCGTATACTCTTAAATCAAATGAGAGTTGCGATGGAACAAAATATTTTAAAATTTGTAGTTTCCATTGAGCGGTGGTGTCTAACTGATCAATTGCGTTCAGCATGGTTCTTAGTTTAATATGGAGATGGTCTTTTACTTTTGTATTTTTGCCTTCAAAATCATATTTTCTACCCAAACATGTAAATTGTTCGTTGATACATATTTGAGGAATTGACACATCATCAAGTGATAATCTGGGTAGAAATTGTTCAAACTGACCTTCTTTCTTGCGCATTTCAAATGTGCAGCATTTGTCAGGTCTTATCTTCATGCCTGTCCATTGACACCATGCATTGTTGATATCGATCAGCCTCTGGGCACCTTCTGTGCTGTCGGCGACAATTGCGGTATCATCTGCAAATTGGAGCCATGCTTTTGATTTTAGATTAGCTGCTGGACCCTAAAGATAACCACATTGCCGGTATTCTTTTTTTTCCACTACTTTTATTAGTGGGTTAAAACAAAGATTAAATAGTAGGGGCGAACAAGGATCGCCCTGGAGCACTCCACGTCCCACTTGAATGAACGGTGTCAGTTCATCGCTTGCTGATACTGTTATCGAGTAATCATTATCAATTGATTTGATCAGATTACTCGCATGTGTCGGAACATGGTGATACTTCAGGGCTGATATGATGAGAGCATGACTAACCTCACCGAACGCGTTTCTTAGGTCCAAAAGAGTGACGATTATTGATCGTTGATGCCTTTTGGCATCTTTTAGCAGATGCGTCAACAGTTGAGTATGCTCTGCAATGCCGTCAATTCCTGGGTAGAAACCTTTCTGAGTTGTTGTGTCGATAAGGTTGTTCATTTTTAAATAGTTATATATTCTGTTATTGATGAATGTTGAAAAAATTTTATAAAGGACTGGCTGTAATGTTATCGGTCGAAAGCTTGCCGGGTCGTTAGGATCACCTTTTTTGTAGATTAGTTTTGTCAGGGCCTTTCTCCAACATGACGGAATTGTAGATGACCTCCAGCATTCAACCAATAATTGGTGAAGAATTGTGCGTAGAATGGGCATCTTTTAAATATTATTATCGAAATTTGGTCCAGAGGACATGGAGATGCCTTTGATTTACATTTTTTATGCAATTTCATTATAAGTTGGAGGGTTGGTGTTGAAAGGAATTGTAGCGTGTTTTTGCCGCGGAATCCATGGTGGTAGGCAGCAATTGCTATGCTGAGATTCCTTTAAAATATTTTAAAAATAATTTTGGCAGTGTGAAATTTCAAACGCAGGTTGAACATCACTTGCCGGTTGAAATATATTTTTACATGTTGACCAAAATTTCTTTTTTAGTTGGTTGGTGATGTCTTCTTTATTTTTCTTTTCTTCTATTTTTCTAAAAATAATTTTGTTCTTATTTGCATGCTCAAATCTGATATTTGTTTATCAAATTGCCGGTTGTTTCGGCCTAACATCTTCAAGTTTTTTAAAGTCTTTTTCATTGCTTTTATTGATTTATCTTGTTTTATTGATAAAGCGGATTTTGAGTTTTGTGTACCATACGTGGTGGCGAAGTAGTTGTAGATTAAGGATTGGAAATGTTCAGTGAATTCGTTTATGTTGTTGATGTTGGGCAGTGACGGTCTATGTATCTGAAAATATGTGTTAGCATCCTCCCAATCGGTCGCGGTTTTTGGTAGTTTTATACCTCGAAGAGGGGTGATTGTAGCAGTGTTGTTGCCGGTGCCGATCACTGTTGCCGCAGGAGTGTTGATGCCGCTGCGGTTTGTTGTTGACGTAGGTGTATTGTTGCTGTTGAAGTTTGTTGCTGCCGCAGGTATGTTGTTGCCATTGTTTGTTATTGCTGTAGGATTATTGTTGATATTGTCGTTGTTTGTCGCTGTCGTAGGTGTGTTGCCGTTGCCTTTGTCTGTTGTTGCCGTAGGTTTGCCGCTGCCGTCGTTGTTTGGAGTAGCCTCAGATAAGTTGCCGTCGTTGTTTGTTACTTCTGGCGACAACGGCGCCGATGAGGGAAATTTGTAGTTGATATCCTCTAGTTCGTTTGGCGCCTCGCTTGAGTATTTCAAATTTTTCCAAATTTTGCATGACCGTTGATGCATTTTGAGGCCTTTCCGTCCCTTACAGCGTTTACCACAGAAACAAACAGTTAAATTATTTTCCATTATATTGTCATTTAAATTGTCATTATTTGAGTTGTTAATAAGAATATTAGGAGATATTGAGATATTATTTTTCGGTGTACACCGTTCATTTACATTTATATTGTTATTGTATTGAGTCGATTTAAAACAACGCCAGGTGTGACAACCAAGTTTGTTAAAATCTTTAAAACAATACGGACATTTGCCCGCGTATACTATTGAGTTTATATTCAAAATTAAAACATATAAAAATATCGTTTTAACGTTAAAATTAATAAAATTAATTAATACCATTTTGACCGCCACAATCTTTCCAACCTTAAGAGCCAATTTTTATATCATTTAAACTTCTGAAATTTAATTAACGTTAATGAAACAGTGAGCAGATAGAAATCGACTTGACTCTCGTGTCTACTAATACGCTATTAATAATAATAATAATAATAATAATACTAATAATATGGTTACTAGATGGCTTAATGGTTAAGTCGCAATGTCCGGTTGTTGCAGTGACCAGGTTTGAATGCCAAGAGATCCCCGCCTGTCTCATGCATTTGCAATTCTGCATATGTGTGTGTCTCATGGGTTGTTTCACGTGCACTGTCTGTGTCTTGTTAATATCTCTGAGAACTAATTAGGAAAGACAGTGTTAACTAAAAAAAGAAATAAAATTAACATAATAATATCATAACCATTACCAACATCATCGTCATCACCATCAGGAAATCAAATGCCTCAGTCACTTTCCAATTGTTTTCCACTACGTGGGACCTGAGATGTACCTCATCAAGTATTTAGAGAGAGGTGATAATGATAACGATGATGATGATTATTAACATTATAATTGTTGTGTTTTTATTATTCGAGTTGTTGTTGTTGTTTTTTGTTGATACAATACAATTATTGTTTAGATGAAAATGATGATAACGATTGTTTATTATTATTAATAATTATTATTATCATCATTATTGTTATTCTACTGCGATAAAAATGTGACTTGAATCAATTTTGAAATTAATTAACTCTAGTCTAGTTGTAATCATTATTTTTGAATAAAGAGCTTCGTAGACTAAATTAATACTCTACTTGACATTTTATTTTATTTTTATTCTACTTGTCAATTTGTTCCATTTGATTGTTATTTTATTCTACTTGTCAATTTGTTCCATTTGATTGTTATTTTCATTGTTTTATAGCTGAATAAAAAATTCATTATTATCCAGCACTGCACTCTTAATGCTTAAATAGATTTTATTTTGCGATTGATAGGAAATTTTCAAAGTGTGTGTGTGGGCGGTCCCGAGAAGTGCGAACTTCTTAAGCAAAACTTTCTTTTCCAGGTAGTTCATCGAGGTGTTTTTGTAAAGTTTGACGCTCTTTTCCCAAGGCGCCTATTACTATCGGTAGTGCACGCGTTTTTGGGTTGCACATGCGTGATAACTGTTTCAAAATGTTTGTCATTTACTCAACTTTTCAACTTCATCGAAAGCAACATTTGCATCATTTGGAACTGCAACATCGAAAAGAAGGCACATCTTGCTACTTCTCTCCAAGAAGACGATATCAGGCCGGTTAGTTCCAATATTTCGGTCGGTGTTTATAGGCAAGTCGCACTCATATAAGTGTTGGTTTGTTGTTGGGCTCAATAATTTTTTCAAGCTGGTAATTGTACCAATGATCAAGCACAGAACCGGGTCCTGTTAGGATGGACCGGTGAATGTATTTTTTGATGCTAATATTGAGCATTCAGCTGCTGTATGATCGACGTGCTCTTCCTGTTTTTGGCGCAGCCTACATTTATCGTCGACATTCATGATGAGTATAGGTTCTCGTGATAACGTGTGATTAGCGCTGTTTTGCTTATAAGTTCCTAGCTGTGAAGCCATCCAAACGCATTTCAAGTTTGCTTTGTTGTGAAAGTGATCATGTAGCGGTTCCAATAAATAAGGTTCTGTTTTTTCATTCTTCATTGCCACCTTGAACCCGGATTTAATTTGTTGAGAGTATTGGTTTTCGTCTCATTCTGTGATATGTATCTGGCTTTATTTTCTGTTTTTTTTTAATCATGAAGTGCTTTCTCTGCTCTTTTTTAAAATTGGTTTTGTATATTTGTCTATGCCTTGCAAAATGTATTCACTGAGTTCTGTGATGTATGTATTTGTACATGGTTCCGAGTTCAACGAGTCCATGACCTCCATCGTTTCTGGTCATATAAGGGTGGTTTACATTAGTGTTGGATGCAAAATACCTTATTTAATTAGAAGTTTATTATTATTATCATTATCATCATCATCACTATAATTAATTATTTTTATTTATTTAACTACAGGTTTTACTAGAAGGAACAACAACAACAACATTAATAACAATAATAATAATAATGATGATGATGATGATGGCAGTTATTACATTCGTGAGCGTTTAGTGTCGATGGCCCATGAAGATGGCCTTCTAAAATTCAACGGGACGATATTGAACGAGGATAATATGAAGAAGATGAAACTATGATGATGTGATGATGATGTTGTGGTGTGGTGGTGGTGATGATGGTGCTGACGATAATGATGTTGCTTGTGATGACGATGATGATGATGATGATGATACTGCTGATCATGAAGAGAAAAAAAAATTATGTTGTTAGTAATGATGTGATGTTGTTTTTTATTGCGATAATATTGATTATGTAGACCTTAATGGTAACGATGAAGTTGATGATGATTATGATGATGGTGATGTTTTCTTAGCTTCTTAATTATTTTCACAAATGTAGAATAAACAATAGAGTCTCCGTTTTTTAAACTATATAAAATAATTAAGTGCCTACACTAACTAATTAATGACTTCCACTAAATAATTATGGGCCAAAACTTCTTCACCGTGATTTACTTTTATTATTACTAATGTTATTGTTAACTGCTGTGTGATAGAAAGTCTGATTGTTAGTTTGTTTGTCGTTTTTTGATAAAAAAATTCTTTAAAATAGTTATTATTTTAAATAATTTGATGATCGTTCAGATTTAAGTACAAACTAAATTTTTAAAAAATTTCATATTCACTCGGATTTTCCTTGCAATTGAACAGATTTTAAAAAAATTACCACGGAGGTGGCTTGCAGGGAATTTAATTAGAATCAATTATCATCATCCTCGTCACAATCATCGTCATCAAATAAAATATCCACAATTATATTCAATAAGGGTTTCTTTGGCGAATCAGCCAATGCCAAAAACACACGCATCTTGTAGGTTCACACGATCCAAATTAACAGGTGAATATGTTTTATTTCCTAATTAACCGAAAAATAAATTGTGAAACCAAATAACAGATAATAATGAAAATACAAATTAAAAATGATACAAAATAACAAAAAAAGTAAAGAAAAATAGACCTATATATAAATTCGTCCTCATCATCATGTTTTAATTATCATCACAGCCATTTATTGATACAAAAATTGAGTTTAAATGCATTTTGATATTGGAAAACAATATAAAAGAGAGCATTGATCATAATTATTCATAATGAAATTTTTTTAAACTGTCACGCCCATATTTAAAAATTTTAAAGAGTTCAGTGAAATAATTACTAAAATTAAAAAAAATTAAATCACTAAAACTTCTTGATAAAACTGCTGTGATGGCAGGCAGCTAACTAAAACTAAAACTATCTTGCAATTGGATAAACTAAAACTATCTTGCAATTAAAAATAATTAGTTTAACTAATAGTTATAAACTTATTATTTGTAATAGTTAGCTAAACCAAAAATGTAACTAAACTTTTACAAACTAACAGCTAAGTTCATGGCAGTCAGTTTTTAAATGTAATAATACTTGGTAGTTGGTACATATAAAAACAAACATACTTTAAAATAAAAAAAATCTTCAATTGTGTTGCACTTTTTAGTTTGAAATTTATATTTAAAAACCATAAGTCGCGACTTGACTACAAAAATGTTTTAGTTAAACCATAATCTTAACTAAACGTTTTATTTCATTAAAATTACAAAGGAAACTGCAAAAAACTCTTAATAGTTTGCAACAATTTAGTTAATCTATGCCCATCACACTGTAAAATTGTAACAACATTGAATAGCAAAATTTACGCCAATGAAAATTCAGTGGCATAAAAAGTTATCGAAGTCGAGACCGACATGACGAAAACGAAAATGACGAAAATTTGACTGAAGAGTGAAAAATTGTTGCCAGCTTCGTTGCAGTAGTCAGCATCGCTGCAGTGGAAACATTCGTAAATGGTGCAGTCGTACGCTTCTTTAAAGGTGTCGCAAGTGTAGTAGGAGACCTCATGGTGGTGGTGATGATGATCTGTTTGATGGTGGTGGTGGTGATGATGACGGTGAAGAGTAAGATGGTATGATGATAATGATGAGGTACGTAAATGATAATAACGATGATGGTGACGATGAGATATTCAAACAAACAATAACCACGATAACTTTGAAGTTTAAAGGGGAATATAAATTAAATAGAGAACACAATGACGACTACGACGACGATGACGACGACGACAATTATAACAATAAAAATAACATAAACATTATCACCACCATATTTATCACGATCGTTGTGATAAACGGCTTTGACGCAATATTTGGCATCGGTGCAGATCGGATGGATGAACTTGTTGTAGTCATTGTAACACCTCAAAGCTCTTATTGTTGTAATGGTGCTTGTTAAGGATAATATTAATACTAGCAACATTAGGTAATTTGTTGTATGGGAGAATTAGTACTTGATATAGTAGGGGTAGTTGTAGTAACAACAATAATAAAATAATTATTATTAAAATTTGTAATTATTACAGTAGTAGTAGTAGCGGTAGCCGTGGTAGAGGCTTCGGAGTTAATGACTTTGATGATGATTAAAATAACTACAGAAATGATGATTACAGAAAAATCACTGGCTGCCTTAACTTAATACCAAGATTACGCGATAAACAATAATATAAACAAAGATTGAACATTGAAAAAAATATTCTTTCTTATATATCTAGACTAAAATTAGAAAATCTAAAAATAAATGTTATAAATAATAAAAACACGGCATATAATACTAAACTATTATATATTAATATAATAGTTTAGATATTATTATTATATAATAATAATAATATTATTATTATATCATACTATAATATTAAACGGCGAGATAGTGTTATGATCATGGATATCTATATAACTATGGTTTTACTATATAGAAGTCTATGGTTATGATCAGGGACAAACAAACGTCAAAAGCTTGTTGCGAAAAAGGCGGCTCCGGCTAAAAAGACAACCGCATCTAGCAATACAAAGTCGAAAAGACTTCTAGAAGAAAGCCGTAGAAAAACCGCCTGCGGCCGCCAAAAAGATCGCTTCTCCCAAGAAACCGGCTACAATAGTTAAAAAACAGCAGGCCAAGAAATCTAAAAAACCAAAATCGGTTACCACCAAAAGACAGGCAAAGCCTACCGCCGCGGCCAACAAAAAAAAGACTAGCGGCAACAAGAAAACTTCAGTTTGATAACGAGAACAAATTTTTAAAAAATTAACAAACGGCTCTTCTCAGAGCCATCAATGAAACGATGATATCGAGCCTCTCTTTCTTCAAAGCTGTCTTGTTTTTATTATTACTCCGTTCATATATATAGAATATATCATATATTGGAAGTTCCTTAATATCGATACATATACCATGTGACAGGGGAGCCGTAATAATTTTATAATCGTTGATAATTTTGCAATCTTTTTTGAAAACAAACATGTTTCGGGTAAAGTCTTACGCGAGCACTCCATATTTCGTAGGTTTTGTGAGCAATGTTAATTCAATTAAAGAAATTGCTACAAATTGCTTGGAGGTTCAAAAATATTTATTAACGATGATTCTGAACTTAGCCACCGACCGACCTATATATTATGTGCGCGGAGAGATCGTGAAAAAAGAAAGGACCATCTGCTTAATGCACAGCAGATGTTCATATATGTTACCAATAATTGTATAGCTATATAAATCCTTAACTGATCATTGAAATGTATGAAAAGTATGTATTCTATATATTTAAGTAACGCATGTATGAACAATGATTGTATGATGTATTGAACAACATAAGGAAATTGACAGTAAGTTGAACATAAAAATCGATTAAAAATATTATTAATTGCAGCCTCAAAAAAAGATTTCTACTACTTATGTAGAATTAAATTACCTTTCTAACAATATATCAGCCACTGAAAAAAAACAGCCTTCCAGGGTGTTCAAAACTCAAAAAACTAAAACATTTACATTGTGCATCGAATCACAAAAATATTTTTTTTCACTATTCATAATTGCGGCTTCAAAAAAAGATTTCTACCACTTATGTCAAATTAAATTACCTTTCTAACAATATATTAGCCACTGAAAAAAACAGCCTTCCAGGGTGTTCAAAACTCGAAAAACTAAAACATTTTCATTGAGCATCGAATCACAAAAACATTTTCATTGAGCATCGAATCACAAAAACATTTTATTTCACCATTCATAACTGCGGCCTCAAAAAAAGATTTCTACCACTTATGTCAAATTAAATTACCTTTCTAACAATATATTAGCCACTGAAAAAAACAGCCTTTCAGGGTGTTCAAAACTCGAAAAACTAAAACATTTACATTGTGCATCGAATCACAAAAATATTTTTTTTCACTATTCCTAATTGCGGCTTCAAAAAAAGATTTCTACCACTTATGTAGAATTAAAATACCTTTCTAACAATATATCAGCCACTGAAAAAAAACAACCTTCCAGGGTGTTCAAAACCCGAAAAACAAACACACTTCAGGGTGTTCAAAACTCGAAAAACTAAAACATTTTCATTGCGCATCGAATCACAAAAACTTTTTTTTTCACCATTCATAACTGCGGCCTCAAAAAAAGATTTCTACCACTTATGTAGAATTAAAATACCTTTCTAACAATATATCAGCCACTGAAAAAGACAGCCTTCCAGGGTGTTCAAAACTCGAAAAACTAACACATTTCATTGTGCGTCGTATCACAGCGACTGAAACAGATAGATATCGCTGGGCAAAATTAAATTTTAATTTTAATGGTCGGTACTATTGGTCTGTCATCATCGCTTTTATTTCATTATAAAAATCATTATAACACTTCAACCCTAGATAAGCATTTATTGCTAGGCTGACTCTTTCACTTTATTTTATTGTGAATAAATGGATCAACAAAAAACTTAAATTACACTTTCCTCTAGCCTGTGTATGCGTGGGTGTGTTTGTGTATGTATTATGTTTGTGTATGTATTGTGTGTGTATTGTATGTGTCAATAATTAACAAAATAACCCAACGATATCTTTAACAATTAATTCAATGATAAATTTAACTGACTTCAAATTCAACAATGTTCGTTTATGTCTATGTGCAAATCAAATCACCCAGTCCGTCTGATTCATTGGTCAATTGTAAAATTTTAACAAACATAAAGTACTATTTTCACGTAGGAAAAGGAATAAGACAATTGAGAGGTTTAGAAAGAAATCACAGATAAATAAAACTGGCTAATAAGCTACCGTCACTTGTCCGAATAGACTGTATTAATGCCTCCGATGATAATACAGTGCATCAAGGTAACATGATGCAAATTCACTCAAGTTGTCCCAGGATTACTTAGTTACTAATGCTGTTCGTTGTGTCTTTGTGTTACCAGATGTGAATATTTTCAGAAAGCCTACCAATGTTAATAGAAATATGTCTAGTGAAACTTTTAGTAATATTGAAAAGTAAGTTTTTTATTTCTACCTATTTTGGTCTGGGCAAAATCTTATGTTGGTACTGGAAAGTTCTATTCAAATAGGTTACCAATTGATTGACAGAAACCAAACATATAATAATAAAAGAAATTTTTTCATTCATTTTTGTTTGTTAATCATTTCAAAATAATTTTCAATAATAAATATTTTAAAAACTTTTATTTTTATGTAAATAAAATATTAAAATTTAAAAAATTTAAATTTGTAATTCATTTCAAAATAATTTTTAATAAAAAATATTTTAAAATCAGCTTGCGTTCTTTATTTTTAAAATAAAATGTTAATCTATTTCATTATTAAAATAAATCATGATCAATCAATCAAATTAATTTTTATAGTCAATAAATTCATGAACTAATAAAAAAGAATTTTGGCTTGAACTCATAAATTATAAAGTTTTGTAAAGTGAAAAACTATGAAATAAATTTTTTATTTACAAATAAATGACATTTTTAAAAAGGACGAAAAATTAGAAACTGTGCTTTAAATATCATTTAAAATTTTTCAAAACAATAAAAATTGCATTTTTAAACTTTATTTATTTATTTATTTTATTTATTTTTTTAGTCTTTATTATTGCAGGTTTGACATACGCAGAACCACTTACAATGTTGCAGGTATATTATTTATATATCTTTTTTTTATTATGTTCTTCATATCTTCAACCATTGATTGGAAGCAGTATATCCTTTTCACACGACGTACACATGTATTTATGTGCCCACGCAAGCACCGCATCATATACGCTGAGTATATGATAGCCATTGGGATTATATTACAACAAGACAAGAACAGGTTATAAAAAAAGAGGAGGAGCTAAATGAGCCCAAATGTACCTATATAAATTTTTAACCCCTTGTTTACCATTTTTTGGATTACCCAGTACCGATCTAAGATTTTACCTTCAGTTTGTATAAAAGATGAAATTTTTATGGAAAGTGTTTACATTTTAAGGTACAATTTTTTGTCAAATTTGATTGAAACATTGATAAAAATGCTTTGGCATATATAGCCGATTTGGTGGTATCAAAGTGTACTTCAACATTGATTGTGAGGTATGCAGCGATAGCCTCATCACTCAATCCAAAAATGAGAATCGCAGTTGTCATCTGCTATTCACTAAAAAGATATGGTTGTTTAATGTTACCTCTCTGTTGATGTTATTAAAGTTAGCAAACGATCTTACCATTATTTTTTTCTAACTGTAGATGCAATGATAAATTTTCTATATGAAAACAATGCGATTTAATATAATTAAATTAAAAAATGCTAATTTTTATTTAATTTTTCTAAGGTCTGTGCAATGGCTGAGAAAATATTAAAGAAAATGTGAGCAGAGAGAACTGTTAAGTTTGAAGAATCTATCTGTAAGGCTAAAATAGAAATATTCACAAATTATATTTTGAATCATGGCCCACATATAATGGATCGGATGGATGATGAAATATATTGTCGTTTGAATTATGTAATTGTTTTAATTGCAGAGCAATATTATCATTTAAGACTTAACTGTTACAGAAGCACTATGAAGGTTGAGTTGCAAAATATGGGGGAAGACAAAATTTTAATATGTTAATATTATTTTCTGGATTATAACGTTGAGTAAATTAATTTTATTTTTCTTATTTTTTTCCTTAATCCTTCTTTACGATGGCAATTTAATATTGTTTTCTGGATTATGACAACAAATCAAAGTTATTTGTTATATAGTAGTATGTATGACATTTTATTAAGAGTGTATTATATATTTCCCGTTTTGCCATTTTTCTTTATGTTTTTTGTTCATTAGTTTGTATTTGTGTGAATTGTTTTAATTTATATACAGTCAAAGTGATGTCATAGTATTATATATTTTTTACTTTCTGCTTTTTTATTTTTTCATTAGTTTGCATTTGTACAAGTTTTTTCCATTTATATGTGCATCCAAGAAGATATGTATATTATGTATCATTATTATTTTTTTTATTATGCATGTATTATTATTAATGCATATTCAACATTACATATCATTCAATCAATCAATCATTAAAAATAAATAAATAAACAATCAATCATCAATCTATCTTCATTTAGCGTCCATAGACCCGGTTCTCCGAGGTAGAACGTTGTTTTCTTTGCCATCAACTTTTTGCGCCAAATTAGACGATCAGTTGTTTTCATTTCATTTAAATTTAAAGCTTTCATATCTTGTTTGCGACCAGGACTTTTTTGGGCGGCCTTTGGGACGTGTGCCAGGTACTTCAACATCTGCAAAAGAAGTTATGGCACTGTTTCCACTTCGTTTGACATGACCAAACCACCGCAGATAGTGTTGCCGACATTCGTCCTTTATATCATCTAAACCAGCACGACGCAGGATTTCGGTAGATTTGATGTGGTCCTTCAGACAAATTCATTGCATCCATCGGAGTATTTTCATATCGATTCGTTGAAGTTGTTATTCCAGTTTGGTTGTCATTGGCCATGTTTCTGCGCCATATAACAACACCAGACGTATTACAGATTTATAAAGTCTTGATCGTAGTGGTAATGGAATGTCACGCCGCATCAATATAGAGGCAAGAAGATGCCATTTATTCTAGGCTGCACGTATGCGTGCTCGAACGTCAGCTTCAGCTGTTCCAGTACAATCCAGAACATCCTCTAGATATTGAAACGATGTGACTTTCTCCATCTTAATGGCTTCAAAAACATTGCCATTTCGTATCTGTTGTTGTGGATTGATGCAAGCAAGACAAACAAAATTGGACACTTTAGATAAATTACCAATTATTTTTGAACAACGTTTGTGACACCACTGGTTACACTGCTGACACTTGATTGAATTGTTACCTACACCTGCTTTACAAACTGAACAGGGCCATCGTCCAGTAGCTATGGATTGGATGGGTTCACCAGTGTTCATCGCTTTGGTTTTGCTGATGTTGACTTTGAATTCATGATCGGCGAGTCTGGTGCTCCAATCTTCAAACATCTGTGCTGCACTCTGCTCAGACGTGGCTGTTAAAACGATATCATCAGCTTATATTAGATTCCAAATGTCACCAGTGCGTATCGGCTTTGTGATTTCTTCCATTACAGTTATAAATAACAGTGGGCTGAGAATCGAATTTGAGTAGCAGGGGCTGCCTTGAACTGGTAGAGATTGTTTTTCAGAGCTGTCTTGTTTAATCTTATTTTGTCTCAAATAGTTAATCTAATTTAAATTTTTTTTAATTTTATAACAATTTATTCCACTGATTATCTTTTACAATTATCTAACTATGGGTTATTTAAATAATAGATTAGACTTAATTAAGAACAACTTTTTTTTACAGGATATGATTTAATTATTTCAATAATTTAAGTAATTTTATAAGGAAAAACTTCTTATATGAATTTAATTGTTTTGTTTAACTTGATAAATTTGGATGATAATTTTTGATCTAAGTAAACATTTTTTGTTTAATTTAACTTGTTTTCATTAGCTAGCTATAAGATTTTATTTTCATTTATGTTGTTATTTTCATGTTTGTTTATTTGGTTTGGGTGGCCTGGCCGTACAAGCTCGTTTGAGCTTCTGTGTTTCCATGCTTTTTTGCTGAATAAAATTGAATTGAATTGACTATACATATATATATATATATCTACATGTATGTAAGTAAATATATATAACTATCGTATTATTTAGATACGATTCTTTATTACTGGCCGCTTTTATTGTGTTAAGTGTTTATTTTTAGCGTTTTTATTGTTAGTCAAATTGTATTTATAAGAAAAAATTGATTTCATTTTGCTGATATAAATGCTGACACTAACAAATCCAAAAAATATCAATGTACTTTATTTTATTCATGTCTTCAAAGTTCGGGTGCAATTTGTTGATGTGCAAAAGAAGTAAATAAAACTCCAGACGCTTTAGTTTGTTCAATGTTTTTCATTGTATGTAGAAAAATATAAATATATAATGAAGTGATTCAATTTAAAAGCGTAATACAGTTCAGTAGATAACACGGTTCCTGCTATGACCACCGACTAAACTAATTTAAACGAATATTTATTCAATCGCTAGTTGAATCATTTTTTTGGTAAGACTCGTAAGGCCTCCTTCGGTTAATCAGAATGGACCGACGAGCGTCTGTTTGATTGCATTAGCTTTATTACGTTAGATAGGAAAGAGCTGAAGCAATTTTTTGCTAAATAACGTGCACAAAGCTAACTGCACGGCGTCAATTTGATTGCATTATCTATTTAAAGAAGGTAAACTACAATAATTATTCCCATCATTTCATGTCTATAATGTAAATAAATCGGCAAATTTAATCAGCGAAGGAACTTTCAATACGATTTCATATCGATGATTAAAATTATTTTTGTTGCTTATGAAATTTGTTGGTGACAGCTGAAGCACCTCGATCCAATTCATTAGCAGCATTATTGAAAGCGCAAGAACATCAGCCGTTGTTAATCAGTTAAAAAGTTAGGTGCATAAAAATAGATTCGTCTATATTCTCGAATCCCTAACCATAGGAATGTCTAGTTTGTGAGATACCTCAGGATTTCAAGACCGACCTTCGCTTCCAGAGCTCGGCAGTCATGGCTCTGCAGGAAGCAAGCGAAGCTTACCTGGTCGGCCTCTTCGAAGACACCAACCTCTGCGCCATTCACGCCAAACGCGTCACCATCATGCCCAAGGACATCCAGCTCGCCCGCAGAATCAGAGGCGAACGTGCTTAATTTCTAGCATATAACAAGAAAAACGGCTCTTTTCAGAGCCACCAAATTTAACGATCGACAAACTTCGCCTGGTTGATTGAACTCCACTTTTGTGTGCGCGTCTTGTTTATTCGCGTTCATCTGTTTGCTCTGGTTTTTAATTACGTTTGCTATATACTTGGATAGGATCGTGTTTCAATTCGGGTAAATGCGTCAAAAATTACTTGCCCATCACCTTTAACAATCGACTTGAGTAATCAAATTAAATTTGATTACTCAAGCCAGTTGTGGTTATGCGTGTCGAGTGAGTTATTAAAAACTGGCGCAATATCAATAAGGACAAGCCTCCTTCGGTTAATCAGAATGATTGCATTAGCTTTATTACGTTAGATAGGAAAGAGCTGAAGCAATTTTTTGCTAAATAACGTGCACAAAGCTAACTGCACGGCGTCAATTTGATTGCATTATCTATTTAAAGAAGGTAAACTACAATAATTATTCCCATCATTTCATGTCTATAATGTAAATAAATCGGCAAATTTAATCAGCGAAGGAACTTTCAATACGATTTCATATCGATGATTAAAATTATTTTTGTTGCTTATGAAATTTGTTGGTGACAGCTGAAGCACCTCGAGTCAATTCATTAGCAGCATTATTGAAAGCGCAAGAACATCAGCCGTTGTTAATCAGTTAAAAAGTTAGGTGCATAAAAATAGATTCGTCTATATTCTCGAATCCCTAACCATAGGAATGCTTGGCAACGAAACAATGTCTATAAAAAAAAAATTGGCGGAAGCAATAGCAAAAGAGCAGGCAAACAGTCGTTAAAATTGGGCGGCTCTGAAAAGAGCCTTTTGTTATGGTGGTGTGGTCGGGGTCGGGGGCCTCCTTCGGTTAATCAGAATGATTGCATTAGCTTTATTACGTTAGATAGGAAAGAGCTGAAGCAATTTTTTGCTAAATAACGTGCACAAAGCTAACTGCACGGCGTCAATTTGATTGCATTATCTATTTAAAGAAGGTAAACTACAATAATTATTTCCATTATTTCATGTCTATAATGTAAATAAATCGGCAAATTTAATCAGCGAAGGAACTTTCAATACGATTTCATATCGATGA